ATTAATGGAAATTTTTAATGTCACTCTTGCTGAACTACCTAACAATCTAACTCTATAACAAAGTGGTAGTATACCTATGATGAGACTGCATTACTCAATAAATAGTACTGCAATTTTACTTAGCATTTCTATGTGTTAATACCTCACTATTTCCAACTACTGAATATTAATTTTGTTATATATCGTCGTGTTTATCATATGATACATACATTCGTGTATAGTCGCCTTATGATTTGATAATTATTGAAAATTTTATCGTAAAAATATATTAGAGGTATATAAATATAAAAATAATCATATTGCTAGTCGTCCAATAAAATTCCGTATATTAATGTAGTTGACTGTCATTGTGTTTCCCAATATTTCCATGTACAAATGATAAATACATATTAGGTATACTAATTATATAATGTATTATTATTATATGTTTATCTTGATCAGTCAAAAGAACAAAACATCATGCGGGTCACTCTGCTATTTCACTGATAATAATACAATATTAATGTATTACTGTTCAAGTCGTATCTCCCCACAAAATCACTCATTCAAACGCGAGTGGCGTTTTAAATTTATTACAATCATTGTACATTTGTAGTAAAACTATTATAATTACATTATGCAACAACAATATGGCAACCCACTAATAATAATATTAGTTTTCAAGTATATTAATTTACTAACCTAATTTTATTTTTACCGGTTTTACAACGAATATAGCTTGCAAATACGTAATATTATATTGTATACAACATACACTGAAATATCTATACATAGGTACCTAATAGAAATTAAAAGCTATAAAATAATTACAAGATTTAAGTATAGTCACTCATGAATATGTTTCAACATTTATTTTTGAGTACAATATTTGTTTCACATTCTCGGTTTATAAGGTTATTTGTTTAACTTTGGGGATTATTTTTATGTTACAATATTATATAATGTTATAAACGTTCGGTTCGTTTTATTGTCGTGTTCTCGTCATGTACCTATACGTTTACGAGTTTTGTTTGTGTCCTGAAGACGTTATACCGAATGTCGGTTATCTGTTCACCGTAATTACTTGGACATAGGTACCTGCTGTGATTTACAGTTAATTTTATTATTATAATATTGGCTATCGCTGTCCACGTTAGCGCTCTATATATGTAGTATGTACCTAAAGTATGTCCGTTGACCATTATACTTTTCACGCACAATACACGATTATTCTTAATATTAGACTTTTAATCGCGGTTTGGTTTGGATTAATCACTAAATCGTGTAGATATAGCTTTGAGCATTACAATAATATCGTATGTAAAAGTACCACCGTTATCGTACTATTTATTACAAGTTATGCGCCTAATCTGAGTGGAAAATTCGTAGGGACACATATAATGAAATCGTTGAACCGCTGTAAAAATGTAAACAATAAATTGCCCTCGTCGATACTTATATTTAGGGTATACACAATTACACATAGTTTATTATTATATTCCGTCTACAGGTTAGTGAACTCGGTATCGAAATCTACCATGACTACAGGCATATCAATACTATTTTGGCACTATATTATTATAATGCTTATATTTAATTATAACGTGTGTTAAAACCCAATTACGTATCTATAACGTCGACCTTTCTGAAATTAAAACGCATTGACCAAGGTCGTTGAACGGATCGACTACGGTTTTTCAGTTTTCGTCTATAAAAACATTTCTATAGGACACGAAATAATGCTGTTTCTGTTGGGTTAAGATATAATTTTAAACGCGATATAGAGTATATCATACATTTAATAACGTTTTATTTTTATTTATGAAATTATTTTATGTTTAAATTTAAGTTTTAAAACTCTGCTCGAAGTGATATTAGTACAATTATTGCGGCTATTCGTTTATTTTTTTCACTCTGGTTTGAATATTAAAAAATATAAGTATAAGTGCAATAGCTACGTAATAGTAACTGCAGTACTAAATCACACACGTTTTTCTAATACATTGTCTTACTAGAGACAATATAATATACTTACATTATTTTTTTATGATCGCATCTTGTACATAACTGCAGCAACTTAAGTTATAATATCCTTAGATTCTCAAAATATAATGTATACATTTGACTTTATATTTGACACGTATAGACAATAGTATAGTACTTATACAGTATTATATTTTTTATTCCAAATACTTGGATTATACGCACATTTGGAATTGTATACATGAAGACCGTGAAAAATATAATTTATTTTTTGAAAAATCGATTGTTTTATCCATTTAACACACTTTTTTAAAACTTTTTAATCGATCACTATTAGTTATCAAATGCCTAAACTACGCTAAAGCACGAAGCATTTTCACCGACTCAACGCCCTCTATATTGGCACTTTGCAAAGAAAACATTGAACCAATCTAACCAATTTTTCCATAAATTAAATTCAAGCCATCAAATATAAATTACTATAAATTATGTGTTTTTATATCTCTGAACTTCTTCATCTGTTCTAATAATGTTAACTATAATAACCCTCGATATTTTTACTCTTTACTCTTTATTAAAAAGTAAAATATGTATATTTTTGATTATTATTTTCAACAGTCGTATTCACTTAATATTTTCTATCATACTTAGGTGCGTCAATAATTCTAACATTGAATACACTAACACACAAAGACCATAACGTGTATATATATATATATGTGTGTATATGTATATTGAATTTATAGAATATAGAATATTGTAGGTCAGGGTTTTAATACCGTAGTAAAACTAGTGCGCCCGTCAAAATGACATTATCAATTGTCGTGGTGCAGATATAAAAAAAAATTGTGTATAATGGGATCATCGTATTCATAGCGATTTTACATATTAAGTAGGTACACAATATTTTACTCACATAATATAATATTATAATATGATTATATAATATCATATTGCAGATGTGGTCGTTGCGGGTACGAAAAATATCGCACTAAAATAAATTAAAATAAGTGTAGGTACCTATATATACAGTGGAGTGTTACATTATTATATAACGTGTAGGTACATCGGTTATATTTCGTTACAATAGTTGTTTCGCGGTGGACATTATCGTCGTCCGCGATGATCACATAATATATCGTTTATCATCATAGCCGCCGATCCGACCTACGACCATCCTTGCTCAGTTGAAGTATACCTAATTTGGTCGAATAATATCGTAGACCATAATATTATTTATATAAACCGTTTAAACCGGCCTAAAACTGATGGCGAATAACGTATATGCACACTACTCAGATAGCCGAGCTGCGCTGTATACGCGCACGCATCCGTCGACGTGTATGTATACCATCTGCTAACACATGGTCCGTTTATGTGTGTTTAGACAATTTAGATGACATGTAATAGTACCTATACTATATGCACACATCATTATGCCGCCTGGTGGGTTGTTCGTGTGTTCATAATGTCACAACTCGTATATTATATTCGTATACGTTTATATGCTGTAGGTATATCTTATAACTCCTACATTGTATAATTTTATAAGAGTATTCGCATTTAAGCAGCGTTTTCGCGCCGCTCTTTGCATTATATAGTGCCCCCCCTTAAGTACCTATCTACATAACACCACCATATATATATGCACTTGTTTTTAATTTTATTTTCCTTCAACACTATTCTTTATAGGTTTATACATATTTACCTACCTATATTACAATGTATACAATTCTCTATTTTCTATGGCTGCAGTATATTAATAATAATCTATTTTTGTTGTTTAGCGAAAACGAGATTTTTTTGTACACCCTTGCAGGGACACAATCCATTGTAAAGCTCTAAAAAAATAAAAATGTTGACATAATATCAGGCCATGGGTGAAATTCAAAAAATTACACAGATATAATTTATTATATATAAATAATATTATTATACAGTTATAATGAGCATTTAAGTACCTATGTATAATATAGTATGTATAGATATTATAAATCCCATGTCGGCGTGAAAAAATCAGTTTATATCTGTTATGGAAAACTTTAACGAGTTTCAAAATATATTCCAAATCAAATTTATTCCACCGTCTCCATGACTTAGGGTCACCCCTGCTGCAGGTTGACAATAATAAAAACTGAGTGGATTTAAAATAAAAAATAAAAAGGAAAAAAATGTAAATCGGGTTTTAACGCCATGACAAGTAGAGATGGCTCTAAATAAAAATCCATTAGTTCGTCGAGACGTTAATTGGATATTTCGCCTGAAGAATCGGAATCGTGATTAACGGAGACGCTGTATATATATATATATAGATGTATGTGTTTGTGTATGTGTGTGCGAATATAGAGTTAACAGAATGGGTGGTGAAGAAAAGTCGTGGTGTTCAGGTCGGTGGCTCCGTGGGCGGGTGTGTATAACGCTGCTGCTGGTCGCGAAGAGGGAAACGATGAGAGTTATTCAAATTCCATTAAACGGAGGGAGGCGCTTAATTGGAATTAATAAAAAGGATCGCTGTCGGCAGTGGGTAAAAAAAAAAATCTGCATAAGTTAAAAAACATTTACACTCCACCGCCATCCTATCCGATTGGCAGACCCAAGCCCAGCCCGGGGAGTTATCCCTGATTTTTTCCCTTGCTCTCTTCCGCGAAAAGTTTAACCGCGTGAAATCGCCTCGGCAGTTTTTTTCTCTCGTGATGGCTTCCGCATTAAATCCAGCCACGCGAACCGACGACAAAATTGTTTAAACAATTTATGCGATTTCCCTCATACAATATACTGTTCCGCTCGGTATATACCTAGCGGCTAGCTTATCTCGTTGATAATAATAATAATAATAATAAAAAAATACTTTAAATTATTTATAATCAACCTGCAATGTCGCGTACAAACACGCGTGCACAATATTAGAGTTGGATATAATTATTATATATTGTCGTTTTGTCCTGCCCCCTATTATGTAATATATATAATACAAATAATCGTAAATATTTTAATTATGTCGATTTCTTATTTATATGGATTTTTTCGTTTCGCTTCAGGTATGGCATGGACCTGAATGGAGCCAGGCGGAAAAACGCTACGCGAGAGACAACTAGCACGCTGAAGGCTTGGCTTAACGAACACAAGAAGAACCCGTACCCAACCAAGGGCGAGAAAATTATGTTGGCCATTATAACCAAAATGACGCTCACGCAGGTGAGCACGTGGTTCGCTAATGCCCGAAGGCGACTAAAGAAAGAGAACAAGATGACTTGGGAACCTAGAAATAGGGTCGAAGACGAAGACAACAACAATGAAGATGACCGAAAGAGCCCTGACCCGAAAGATCTCGGTAAATATTAAATACCAGTACTTAGCATGCTTAATACACATGAAAATTTTTTTATAGATTTAGAGTGATATTTTCTTTTACTTTTTTAAATCTGATAGGCTTGACTTAAATTAGACTAAATTTACCATCATAAAAATGTCCATTCATTATTTTTAGGCTATTTCTATTACCTATATGATTTAATAACCTAATCCATATGATTAAAATTTTAAATTATATTTTCTAAAGAATTATAAAATTTACACTTGCCGTTATTCCACTGTAGAATACATCGGTGATTTAAGAGTAGGTTAGGGCAGGATAGGGCTTAATTTTTGTCTTTATATATATCCTAGATAAATTAAATATTTCCATGTTATTACTAGAATAATTTAATAAAACATAATTTTATTATTAAAATTATATTAACTTTTGCGAAAAGAACTAAACTTTCTATCTACATTTATATTTGTGCATTATATATTGCATCACTCTTTTTCTGCTCATAAGTATATACATTTTGTTTTTAATTTCATCTTATGCAGACTTTTTCAAGTATAGGGATTTAAAAAACTGTATTATATCCTTTATATTGTGTATAATAGACAAATGTAGGTAAATAGACTTAATAAACGTCGGATGCATACAAAATAAATGTTTTATTAAAAAAGGTCTATTTGCACTCGTATAGTAAACATCCATATCTTTTAATTGATTTTTATGTTAATTATGAAAACGAGTTTCGTTCCCGGGCTGACGAAATCATAAGGCAAATTCGTGTTTGCTATGTATTTCTATGGGTCGAATCGAACCGCTCAACTTTAAACATATAATGCATTATACTATATTTGTCGTATAGCCGTAAAAAATAATCTTTATTGTACATTATACTGCACCTATATGCTTGCAGATGCACGTGAGCGTATTAAGTACATAATACCTACTATACACAATATATACCCCGCTTTTCGAATCTAATGCGCCGGGTCGATTAATACGAATTATTATACGCCATCAATCTGTTCCCCTTACCCCGTATATAATACTTTATACTAACGGTTTACTTTTTAACCAAATCTAAGAACAAAACGTACACGTCAAATTCGTACTCGATTGCTGTATTATACTACTATTACTCGTATTATTATTGCTTGAAACTGCGGCAGTACGTCGCGCGCGACCCGAATCACGCGCCCCGTCGGTTCCAATGACCGTTTCGAAGCGCCTCCCTTTACCATCAAATGTCGCTATATATATATATATATATATATATTGAAGTTGCCCCCTTTTTTTTATTTCCCCTATTTCGGTGGTCGTAAATTTCCGGAGCCGAACACTAGTCACGTGCCCGCCGTAATGACAATAATAATATCCAAAGCCAATAACACGGTTCATATAATATCTCGTTCGGTTTTCCGTTGGCGTGTCCTATATAATATTATATTAATATATTATAATACCATTATGTCACGTCGGAAGGCTTTATACACACACACACACACACACAGCATTATACATTTTTTTTCATCGCCAGACACCCTCCCCCGCGCACTGTAAATTTTTACTCGACACGTGTGCGTGTATTTGTGCGGAATAAAAACAAATAAATATTATACATTATTATTATCGTTTCGCTGACGGAAATTTCCTGCGACACACCGCTGATCAGTCTCGTACTAATTATAAAACTAAAGCGTCGAAACCGGATACGGCGGTACATTATTATGGATGTAATATTATAACCGCCAAAAATCCGTAATCGAACCGTTGACAAGTATTATGTTATACACATAGAACTCTCGTACATAACATAATAAACTTTTCCGTGATGTTTTCGTCACTCCGATCGGTGACATAAAATGGTAGTTATATTTATATTATATGGGTAAATGTTTACAGGGGTGTATTTGAGCGTATGCTCATAATAATATTTATAAATTATAATGCGTGCAAGCAGAAAAAATATTAAGTATCGATGGATATGCCGTGGCGAATGAGTATATTATTTTATAATTTGTATTATTCCATTTTAAATTGTATTTTTCTTTTTAAATTCTGTGGTCAAAGGACAAAGAACCGTATAAAAATGCTTGATCATAAATTCAGTTGTCGTGTAAATAGTTTTTTTGCTGAAAATATTTACAAGTTTTTGACTAATTTTCTAGCGCAAGAGAAAAATACTCGAAATATAATTATTTATCAATACACCCCGGCAGGTATAATATCTACGCATTTGTTTTTTACAAAACCTAAGATATTTCGTATTATTTTCACATGCGTTTTAAAATCTGACAACAAATAACGTTCTCTCCTCCCGGTCCACGATTTTGTTGTGAGTAATATTTTGTTTTAGGATACATCGCATGGCCGTAAGTGAATAAAGGTTCCGAGGCTCAGACAAAACGATTGTTTACATGGTTTACGACACGGTCTGTCGTTGATTTTTTTATGCGGTTCGTTTTTGTTATCATTTATATTTTTGCGTACATTTCGGGTAAACGGAAACAATAAAACCGCACGGCATGAAGAGAGCTGCATTTCGTCGGTTACAAATTAAATAATATTATTTAGTACATCATCATTAAAACATGTGCTAACCGAACATTGCAAATGTATATGTAGGTACACGACGGGCGTGGTAATATTTTATGAAACGATTTTTGTGCCACGTGCGCTTTAAAAACAAATCGCGGAGTATGGAGCAAACGACTTGCGAACATTTCTGCGGTCCGCTGCTGTTGTACGCCGCGATAACACGGTCGGCGTCTGTGATTACAATATTATTACGTATGTACATTTTTTATACTGTGGGATTGTTATTATCGAATTGGCGCCGGTGACGACGTTTTAATGTGCAAAAATACCTTTATACATAATAATTTAGTGTTTAAAGTGTACGCGCGAGAGTTAATTATGAGAATATTAACGTTCGTCGGTTGCGTATATTTTATAATATTGCCAATCGGCGGCGTGTACCTACACATGATAATATTATGTATATTGTGTAAATCGACGGTTTGTGTTATAATTACACGTTAAAGTATTCTTTAAGGTCAACGTGCGAATCATAACCCAGGTGGTGTTTCTATAATAATAATATAATAAATGCTATCGCGTTCTGTCCGACAAAAATAACTAGCTTAGACAAGCTTTGGAATTGCTCGTGCGCAACAAGTGCTTATAGGGGATAATACAGAAATAACATATTTTCGGGTACGACTATTTAATAATATTATATGTCATACAACTATACTAATATTCTTATATATTATTACATGGTTATTACACGGACACTTAACCGTAGCCGAAATAACGGCGGGTAATCTAAAATCAATAACGTTTGAATTCGAATACAATAGAAAGTATACAAATAATGTCCTGTCAATCAAATACACGTATATTAGTTTAAAAATCTTTTACTTTAGCAGAGGGATGATGTTGAGTCACGACAACGATGTTTTGTTAAACGGTAGATTTAAATTATACGTCGAACGTCGATGTCTGGAGTTGAATTTACCATACATTATATCATAATAAAACTGCAGGGTATCTCGAATTTTTTCGAATTTTTTTCTGTTCCCCCCGAGAGTTAACTGCGAATCGTATAAAAACAAAACCCATGTGTTCACGTATAAAGTAATATTTTTAACAAAATCGTTTCGTTTTATGCCGACAGATTGTAAAGATTCGGGCACGGGATCGAGCGAAGACGGCGACCGCCCGGGCGCCAATCACACGGGCAGCGAGTGGAGCGAATCGCGGGCCGACAGCGGACCGGACTCGCCGGAACTGTTCGAACGGCCGCCGCCGCCGCACTTCCTGCACCATCCGCCGCCGTACCACCACGGCCACTATCCCGGAGCGCCGCACCACCCGCCGCCGTCGCACCTCGGCCACCACCATCACCACCACCATCCGTCGGCAGCGCCGCCGCATCACCGGTTCGCGTCCGTCTCGCCGCCGGCCACCGGTGGCGTGGGCGGCGTGTTGCTGCCGTCGCAGAGCAGCGCCCCGAAGCCGCGAATCTGGTCGCTGGCCGACATGGCCAGCAAGGACACGACGACCACGACGACGGTCGCGGCCGCGGTCGAGACGACCACCCCGTCCACACCGCCGCCCCCGCCGTCGCCGCACCACCAGCAACTGTCGCCGCCGTCCGTCGGCGGCGCGGCGTCCGGCCACGGCGGCCGCCCGCTTACGTCGCGCCGGCCGGTTACGCGCGCGCCACGAGCAGCTGTACCGGTCGTTCTACGAGGATCCCGCGGCCGCGGCCTACCACGCGCGTGCCTTCGGCGGCGGCGGCGGAATCGTGTTCCAGCCGTCCGCAGCCCACCAGCATCATTTGCACCATCATCACCAGCAGCAGCAGCAGCAACAGCAGCAACAACAGCAACAACAACTGCACGCAGCGGCCGCGGCGGCCGCCGAACCGTCGCCCGCCTCGTCCTCGTCCGACGCCGAATCCGTGGTCGCCGTCCAGCACGCCGAACGGGCTTGACGCGAAGCAGCGGCAAACTCGACGGCGCACACACACACGTAAATCCAAAGACAAACAAAAATAAATAAATAAATAAATTAATATAAACGTTATTTTGTAAATATTAACGATAATATTTAAAGCAAACTTGTACATAACATTTTATTATTATTACGATAAATATTAAAATATTATATATATATATATATACATATTAATGAAAACATAAAGTAAAACGCATATGATATATGATATGATATATATATATAGAAAACGGCATGTAAAGACATTGTGGACAATAAAACAAGTAATGATACCATGTTGAAAACCAAAAATTAATAAATAATAATAACGAACGAAGTAGTTATTATATATACTTATAATATATGTACGTACACTTACGACGAAGAAATAATATAGTAATGTTCAACCAACAGAAAACGATGATGCGATTGAGACGCGTACACGAATAAGTGAACATTATTGTTGAGGTATCGTGCGGACCGCGTGTGTACACCTATATATACGTATATTATATTATATAAAGTTTATGAATATTATTATTATTAAAACACGTGAGTGATTTCTGCAATGATTTTGAGCGACTGTGGGGAGGTGGTGAGACGGACGGAGCTCGTGAATAGAGACTTTGTCGTTTCTTTTTATTTCACCGAGAAACTATATTATATTATATTATTATATATAAGGTCGACATGCGCGTAGTGGTATGTGTGTGTGTATACCTACACAAAGTTTTATATAGTATCATATATAACATACACCGTGGGTGTAATTAATATATTTATATATATATATATACATATTTATTATATCATATTATATTATGTAGAGGACAGGCGTACCCGAGTCTGTCCGGTTTAAGACGACTGGACAATCTTTTACGTTTGCCGCGGGGACACGAGATATACACGATATAAATTGTAATATTGTCATTACCTACCTATTATTATTTATTTTTTTCTCGTGCCAGGTGAACCGATTGTTGACGTTCCTTTCTATATAGGTAACATTACGTTTTATTATTTTTAATTTATTTCTTTTCATCTTGTTTTTATTTTACTCGTAAACTACGATTTTTAAACATATTATATAATATATATATATGTATATGTATAAAAAAAAATATATATATATATATACACACAAACTAGACGGAATGTATGACAAAAACTACTATATATATATATAATAATAATATAATCTCTTCTCGTGCAGCATCATATTATATATTGTTTTCCATTTTAGTGTATATTTAGCGGTTTGTACATTGTATTTGTACGATATATAATATAATTATATTTATAGCGGTACGCGATATTATTTTATTTTGTAATTAATTGGAATATAAAAAAAAACCATTGTTATAGCTTTTAAATTTAAATTATTCTATTATGTTTTTTTTGTGATATTGTAGTCGGTACTTTTCCTAATACATTGTTTTTTCTTAAAAAAAAAAAAAGATTCTATTTTTTTTATCCTTTTACAGATCCGTTCTCTTTCTAAACATATATTATATTATTCACTGTATAACAGTCGACTACTTATATATATACATATATAAATATATGAGCATATTGTATGCGACATCATCGTCATCTTTTTTTAAAACAAAAACAAGTTCTACGAAGCCGGAGAGTTGCCTATACGACACCCCGACATCAATTTTTTTTGTTTACTAGTAAAATAAAAAAAAAAATATATGCCGTCCATACGTCGTTTCGTGGACAGATGACGTGGGAGATAACGCAAAACGGCACTAACTCCGTCGGAAATTGATTGTTTACTGTATTTTGTTAACTTTTGTGTGTAAGTCAATTACTTCATTCGCCAAGAGTTGTGTACCGTATATGTACCTATATCTTTATATGAATACTAATATTCATAACGTACAGTATTATTTTTATTCACACGTATTGCCTTATTAGGATGAAAATATATTAATATATTGTGATTATTGCGGTTGTTTAGGTATAAAAAGTCATTGCAGCAGCAGGTACGTGTGCAAAATTACACTCGACAGCCATTACGTGCATTCGCTTTACACGCCGAGGTCTGAGGGTTAGTGTTGTTTTTAACAGCGTCTGTGTGATAACAATATTTCGCAGATATCTTATTGTTCGAACAATTAAAACGATAAAAATCGGAATACATATTATGATCATGCCATTTAAAAATGCAGTCGGGCTATATACATAGTAAGCGCAGATTTAACGACTACACCTCAATAATATTTACACACACATAACGTTCGTATAATTATAACGACAGGACAATTTATCAATATAAACGCGTTTTTATACACACCTAATAATAATATATGTGAATACCCAACATGTATTGTGTGTAAAGTATATTTTATAATATATATACATATATATATATATATGTGCTGTGTGTATCTATAGCGCGCAAACAACGTGTAAAAAACGGCAATCACATTTTTGATTTTATTTATCGTAGTCGGTTTTTTTTTTTTTATGTATAATGATATGGACAATGCTAATTATATTATTGTCGTCGAAAACTAAACGGAAAAAAAAACCAACGATTTATCTTCGTCGTCACATTGCAACGTTATTGGTGTAGTTAGGGTTTTACGTATAACTAAAAAAAAAATCCATTGCGGTAGACGGCGTGTGCGTTTTGTACAAAAACCAAAAATACGCTACACCGAATACATAGTACTTATTTATTGTATATTATTAAAAGCAGTGATATTATAATATAATATAATACAATATATACTCAATAGTGGTATATAATAGCTAAAAATCGTCACCATTGGGTGGGGAGGGTATAAATCGCATTGTAGAAAAATTCGGCGTTAGCCGTTATAATAGGTATGTATTTAAAAAAAAACCGCCGTTGTCGACGACGACCAGACACAATCGAAAGGTCATTGCTGGCGGTCTTCTCATCTGCAGCAGTGATATTATTATATTATTCGATACTATCGTCCTGGCGACGATCGCGCTGCTATATCGTTTGAGCATATTTATATATACATATAATCATATATTATAGGAAACGCGTTGGCTGCTGCTGCTGTATACGTTTACTGGGTTGGGAGAGGAGTCAGAAATCGTCTCGTCACCAACACTTAACATACGCGTGTTTCGAACGATTACAGGAATTATTATACAAGCGCATTTAAATATTATTTATTCGCGTTGAACGCAAATTATTACTTACTTATTCGACGTATGATTTATAATTCACAATATTTTGTCTAAGCTCCGTTTCTGTCAACCTTTCGCTATCGTATATTAATACACGCGTCATTTATATTATGTTCTATAGTTCTATAATTAACATATTTTTTTCATTTTATTTTATCGGATTTCTTGGCAGAATAAACAGTCTATATAATATACTTACTCGAAGTGGATGCCACGTAAAATCGGTTGGGGGAAACACTGCGCGGGCCTATAATATCATCACGCGCATAGGTGCTTAGTAATAAGATTGCAGGGGGGTAGATTTAGTGCACACTGCAGCATTATAATAACACTATATAATAGCTATAGGGCTGGGATTTTAATGCCCGAAAAAATCTCAAAAATGACTTAAAAATAACTCAAAAAATGCATTTAAATTATATTTGTTACAGCTTAAAAATTGGAAAAAAAAATTTAAATGATTTTTTTTTCTTAATAGTATTGTTCGTGGTTATACTTATTATAGTTCCATTGTACTCCTGTTTTCTTAATCATTCGTATTCTACAATAATAATTTAAAAAAAAATGTATTGTTTTTAGCGTCGGCAGTTTGCTGAAAGTCTCTTGTTAATCGTTATAATTTTGGTTCATTTTACGAACAAATTATGAAAAATGCTATAAAACTAAAAAAATGGACTAAAAAGTCAAAAGATGCCCTTAAAATGCATTTAAGGTTAGTTTTGTCAGAAATTGCAAAAATAAAAAAATTACTTTGACATAATCGCAGTAGTATCACCCAAAACACGTTTTATACTTGTACGGCCCCATGTTTCAAAACACACACCAGAAAAAAAGATGCGCCTTTGCATATAAATCTCAGCCCTAATAATAATGACTAATAAAATATTAATTTTCGTTATTAGCGACGAGACGGGGCCGGTACCTACCTATATGCATATAAACCGGGAAGTCCCAGGTAAGACCGAATGCACTCGTTGCTGCAAGAACGCGGACCTATATGTATGACGTCTGCGCGGCGTACACCAGAGCGGCAGACTCCTCGAGAGGGATCACGCCTGTTAAGTATGTATACTCGCCATAATAACGGACAAACGGACGGCTTAAATACGGGTTGGCGGTGGGTGGGCGAAAGAAAGACGACCGGGCGGCGTGAAATATTTGCGCTAGGGATATTTAATGGCCAATTAAACGCGTACGACAAGAATGTGTACAGTGCGGCGCGCATCGCCGTCGGAGCATGTGTGTGTGTGTGTGTGTGTGTGTGTATGCACATTGTTGCAAAACGCATTCCAAGGCCCAAATTGTGACAGTGGTCGTAAATCACCGCAAGCCACTCGAATATATATTGTGTATACTTATATTTATAAATATATATATATATATATTATACTTTAGACGCTGCAGTGGCGGTAAACTGCAGCACCGCTCGCGCTTTATATATATATATATATAACGTACGTGTACGTCGGGGGGAGGTGAGAATATTTATATATATTTTGGTTTTTTTTTTTTTTTGTGTTTTATATATACAGTTGTTTTTCTCATCGACTTTCAACACCTCCGAAGATGGTTGCGACGAGATAAAGCGAGTTTTTTAACAAATCGACGTGGTGTCGTATAGACGCGTGTACAACGCGCGCACACACATTACACATATATATACGTAATATTATGTGCGCGGCATTTCTGCTGCCGCCGCCGCAGACCACCAACGGATTGTCTCTACTGCCGCTGTACACAACCGGCCGTACGAGTGTATAATAATATTATACAAACATGTGTACATGAGAGACGGCAATGTACAGTGTACACATAATAGCTATACGAACCATATATTTTTATTGTTACACATACTGTTGAGACCCATTTTTAAGTATCTGATGCCGTGCTTTCAGGTACGCGCGCGGGATTT